GTTTTATTGTTTAAATAACCTTGTATTGCATTCCAGCTAACTTTCTTTTAACATTCTACCCGCCTTGGTACGGGGCACTCACCAGACCATTACGAACCTAGAGGTGCAGGTAACACTTTATACAGGGTTAGTTTAGACTGACAAGTGCTACAGGTGCATTTTTACGAGACTCACAAAGTTGAATTTTTGCTCACGAGGCTCCACAGCTTAGGAGGACCATCGCTCGGGAGCAGAGCCAGCCGGGAGGGGGGGTGTGGGTTCCCATCCACCACATGCACCAGGAAACTCAGATGTTGCTGAAGGAATCCTTGATTTTCTTTAAAAAACGCACGGCGTTAACAACATGCACCTCCGGGTGTTGCACAACAGAATGCAACTTCCCCGTCTACCCACAAAAAGTTGATGCTTAGGTGCGGACCATCCGTCATTTCCCCACCCCCTTGACAGCTCATCTATAAGAGGCAGGATTGAGAAGCAGAACAAGGTAGGTGGGGCCGTGAGAGGATCTGCAGATGGTCAGCTTCAAGGCTGAGCCACTGTCGGTTGATTAAAGGACTTCATTTTTCATTCATCTGGAATCTCTGATCTGTTCTTCCGAGGGAAATCCCTCACCGGAGTCCGTGTTCTCCCATCTGGGACACCGTTCATCCCCCTGTCCAGGTCAGTGCAAGCAAAAGAAAGCTGGTTTGGTATAGTGGTTAAGAGAACATACTCTAATCTGGGAGAACCGGGTTTGATTCCCCACTCTTCGAAATGCAGCCAGCTGGGTGACCTTGGGTCAGTCACAAGTTCCCTCAGAGCTCTCTCAGCCCCACCTACCTCACAGGGTGTCTGTTGAGGGAAGGAGATTGTTATAAGGCACTCTGAGACTCCGAGTGAATGGTGGGGGATAAATCCAACTCTCCTTTCCCCCCTACTCCTCTTCACATGAACCATGCAGAGTTAAACCCTCCCAAGTCCATGGAAGTCCACGAGCTTAGAAGGTGTAGAATTCTGCTGATGGTTGCTGGAGATTTGGGGGGGGGGGTATATGAGTTTGTAGCGGCAGAATACAATAGGAATCCGGTAGCCCCCCCCCGAAGACTATTTATTTTAATTATTTCTTTAATCCATTCATACCCTGTCTTTCTCCTCAGCGGGGACCCCAAAGTGGCTTATGTCATTCTTCTGTCCTCCGGTTTATCCTCCCAAGAACCCTGCGAGGTTGGTTAGGCTGAAAGGGTGCAGCTAGCCCAAGGTCACACCCGGTGGGCTTCCGTGGCACAAGAGGGGATTCGAACCTGGGTCTGTCCGATGCCAGTCCGGCCCTCTCAGCCACTATGCCATGCTAACAGAATTTATCCCAGCTTGAGCTTTTGTGATGGGGACTCACTTCATCCGATCCACAGAGCGTCCATCCATAAGAGAGGGATTCGCATGTCAAGTTAGAAGCAACGGGAAGGTGGAAACGGGGAAACCTTACAGAACTGAGGCCTGCTGGGATTGCAGTGTAAACTGCCTCCGATTTAATGGGGATGCCAGCCTCCAGGTGGGACCTGGGGATCACCCGGAATTACAGCTCCTCTCCAGACTACAGACATCTGTTTCCCCTGGAGAAAATGGCTGCTTTAGAGGGTAGATTCTGTGGCATTATGCCCCACTGAGGTCTCTGGCTGATTCTGCATTGGCTTTTCCTTCCGTTGTTTTACGAAACCCACCTTGGAACAGAAATTCCCCCTTTACATTGCATGCCACTTTCACTTTCTTTGACTGTTGGATTTTATGGTAGCCTCCACACTGCATGCCAGTTTCACTTCCTTTGATCATCAGATTTTATGGTAGCCCCCACACTCCATGCCGCTGTTGCTTTGTTTGATCATAGGATTTTATTGTACCTTCTGCATAGATTTATGACCGTTTTATGGCCATTCAGGGGTGACTTTGCAGTCAGTACGGCATTGTCCAGGGGTATCTGAATGTGGTTTTGAGCTGCACTTTCCCCTCCCAGTTGAGAAAATGTGGAGCGAAATGTTAGCTGTAGAATTGCACTCTGTCCGTCCCAGGCTCCACCCCTGGCAACCCTACCCCTACCCACCCCTTGCACTGTACAGTTACCAGGTCCTGTACGGTTACCAGCGGGGGATGGGGGGTGGGGCTGCCAGATCCAGGTTGGGAAACTCCTGGAGATTTGGGGGGGAGCTTGGGGAGGACAGGGATCGACCGCCGAAGCATCCATTTTCTCCAGGGGAACTGATCTCCGTAGTCTAATTCCAGGGGAATCCCCAGGTCCCACCTGGAGGCTGGCATTTCTATGTACAAGGCCACAGAGTCCACCTTACACAGTGGCCGTTTTCTCCAGAGGAACTGATATCTGTAGGCTAGTGATAAAATGTTTTTCCAGGGGATCCCCAGGTCCCACCTGGAGGCTGGCAACCCTATCTGCTGGTGGCCAGGAGAGACCCGCGACCCTACCTCCAGATCTACTCATATCCAGGGGTTTTTTTTGGTAGAAAAAGCCCAGCAGGAACTCATTAGCATAACAGGCCACACCCAATAGCAGGAACTCATTCACATAGTAGGCCGCCACTCATTAGCATATTAGGCCGCACCCACATGTTGCCAGAAGTGTGCTCATCCAGCCACACCAACCTTTTGCTTCTTATTCTGTTTACCTAGTTTGTTGTCAAAACCCAGGGCCTTTTTTGTAGCAGGAACTCCTTTGCATGTTAGGCCACTCACCCCTAATGTAGCCAATCCTAATGAGTTCCTGCTGTTGGGTGTGACCTATTATGCTAATGAGTTCCTGCTGGGCGTGGCCAACTCAGGAGCCAGCCGGAACTCCGTTCCTGTGCGTTCCTGCCCCAAAATAGCCCTGCTCATATCAGATGAACAGAGCTTTGACTCCTGAGAGCTTCTACCCCGGAAATCTTGTGGGTCTCCCAGGTGATACGGGACTCAAACCTGGCTCTTCTACCGCAGGCCAACATGGCTACCCGCCTGAAACATTGTAAGCTGCGGAAACCACTGAAATGGCAGCTGCCACGTGAGGGGAGCGTGGTTCTTTCCCTGGCAAATGCTCCTGGGGGCCTCGTGTTCTTAGGTTAAAGGGAAGCTTAAGAGGTGAACGGTGGGGACAGCTTTGCAGCCAAACACGAGAGACGAGGAATGGGAAACAGGAACCGGTAATTGCGCCAGACTGAACTGCCTTGTTCTTGACATTGGTGCTGGTGTGGTTTAAGTATGGTTGCCAACTCTGGATTGGGGAATTCCCGGAGACCTGGAGGGTGGGTGGAGACTGAGGAGGAGAGGCTCAGTACGGAAGTGGGAGACCGTAGAGCCCTCCCAAGCTCCCATTTTGTTTGTAGTCTGGAAATCAGTTATAATCCTGGGAGAATTCCCGCCTCTACGTAGAGCAGGCAGGGGTTCCCGATGTGGTGCCCATCAGGTTGGCCGACTTGCAGATGATCGCTAGAGGTCCTCCGGGGTTACAACTGATCTCCAGGTGACAGAGACCTACGGTGTTCTACCCGACGGAAGTCCCTCCCCTCCCCAAACCCCGCCCTCCTCAAGCTCCACCCTCAGAATCTCCAGGTATTTCCGAACTCAGACCTGGCAACCCTCATTATGCAGACAGCCAAGTTTGGCCTGTATGAAATCCACTGCGGCCTGTCAAAGGTTGCCTCCTCCAGGGTGGGAAATTCCTGGAGATTTGGGGATAGAGCCTGAGAAGGGTAGCATTGGGGGTCAGGAGTCAGTAGGGATGTCAGGCCACAGACTCCGGCTTCCAAAGCTGCTGGTTCCCTTCAGGCAACGGTCCCTAACTTTTTCAGTACAGTGACCCAGAAATCCAGATTTCCTTTGTATGGCGAATACAGAGTACACACACACAAACAATGACCTTGGCGCCCATCAAGTTCAGCATTCCATTTGTATTTCATTTTATTAGGGGTTTTTCTTTACTTTTCATATGTGCATGTGTGTGCGACCTCTGGTGCCTGACCCCCTACTGGGGGCCTGGAGGGTATTCAGAGAGGTGGCTGAATAAAGCCTGCCCCCACCTCTTGCCTCTGGTATTCCAAGGCGGTCCCCCATCCAAGTACCTTCCAGGATTGACCCTGCTTAGCTTCCGAGATCTGACAAGATCGGACTTTCCTGGGCTATCCAGTTCAGGGCCATTCATAGGGCTGCCAGGTCCCCCCGGGGGGTGGGGGGCAGTGTTCCCTCTAAGCTGAGTTAGTGTGAGCTAGCTCACAGTTTTTTAGACCCCGGCTCACACCTTTTTGTCTTAGCCCAGGACGGATGGCTCCAGAGCAAACTAATTTATGCGGCAGCCAAATTGCTCTCTCCCAACTTCAATGCCAGTAGCTTACAAAGTAGAATTTTTTGCTCACAAGACTCCACAGCTTAGAGGGAGCATTGGTGGGGGGTGGGGGGTTTGCCCGTTCAAAGGGCCCCCGACCTGCCAGCCCGGATCTGGCCGGCAGCAGGAACCCCGCCCCCAAAGTGCCCGGATTGGGCCAATGTGCCTGGCACAATGGTGTCACTTGGAGGTGATGTCATCACACTGGGCACGCCACTGGAGGGACGCTCTAGCATCCTGCCTCAAAATTCTATGGTATCATAGAGTTTTCAAACTGAATGCTAGAGCACCCACCGGCGATGTGCCTAGCCCAATGATGTCAGTTCCAGGTGGCACCATTGTGGCGTGCACATGCTACATGCATGTGTGAATGCCCCAGACTTGGACCTACTCCCCCGTCTTGCAGTAGGTAAGCGACCTGGCAACCCTAGTGGTTAAATCTTCTGGCAAGCAGATGCTGGAACACAAATTCCAGGGCAAAAGGTGTCCTCTGCAGGTCTTTGCTTGTGAAGCTCCACAGGCAGTTGGTTGGCGGCTGTTGGAAACAATCGCTCGGATAGGTGGACAAGGATCTGATCTCACAAGACAGTACTTGTGTTCTTCTTTCTCCCTCCAGGAGAAGACAGAAGACAGGAGTGAAGGAGAGCCTCCCCCCAAAGGAATGGAGAACACATCTCAACTTACCCCTCTGGAGGTCGCCCACCCAGATTCCAGTGTCGTCACTGCCATCTATGATGACTATTATGACGATGAAGAGTATCTCTTCCAACGAACTTTGCGGAAAAGGCTGCACATCTTCTCCATGGTCATCTATAGCATTGCCTTCGTGCTGGGGGTCATCGGAAACGGGCTGGTCATCTTCATCACCGGCTTCCGAATGAAGAGGACGGTCAACACCATCTGGTTCCTCAACTTGGCCATCGCCGACTTCACCTTCACCCTCTTCCTGCCCCTGAGCATTGCCTACCTAGCCCTGGGCTTTCACTGGCCCTTCGGGGAGGCCATGTGCAAGCTCAACAGCACCGTGGCCTTCGTCAACCTCTACGCCAGCGTCTACCTCCTCATGGTCATCAGCATCGACCGCTGCATTTCCGTGTTACGCCCCGTGTGGGCTCAGAATCACCGGAACCCCCGCTGGGCCTCCTTTGTGGCTTTCGGGGTTTGGGTTCTGGCCCTGGTGTTGAGTTCGCCAAACATCCATTTCAGGACAACCGCGTTGAATAGGAATGTGACCAACTGCTATACCAACTATGGCCATGATGAGAAACGGGCATTAGTCACCCACCATGCCATGATTATCAGTCGTTTCATTTTTGGCTTTGCGATCCCCTTTCCCGTCATCATTATTTGCTATGGGGCGATTGTTCTGCGGCTGAGGAGGGACCGCCTGGCCCGGTCGAGCAAGCCCTTCAAGGTCATCACTGCCGTGATTGCGGCCTTTTTCATCTGCTGGCTCCCCTATCATGTCTTCTCCTTCCTGGAGCTTCGAGCCTACGAGGACCCCACGCTGCATCTGGCACTCATTATTGGTATCCCGCTGGCGTCTAGCCTGGCCTTCATCAATAGCTGCCTGAACCCCATCCTGTACGTCTTCATGGGGCACGATTTCAAGGAAAGGCTGAGGCGCTCCATCCTGGCGGTATTTGAGAATGCCTTCGACGAGGAGGAAAGGCAGAGTACGACGGAAACAAAGACCAAATCTTCTGAGGACTTGGAGTCTCATAACTTATAAACATTGCCGATCTTGGTGTCCAAAATTTCTCACCTTCCCTGCAAGACCATTCAATGTGTCCATTTATAATTCCATGCAGAACCTGCTCTGTACTGTTGGTAGGGCTAGTAGTTCTCCCGCTATAGAAGGAAGCTTCCCACTGACCTTCTCCATTGACTGCCTGTGCTTTGAGCGGCAACAAGAATAAAGAAAAAGATCACTGATGGCCTCCGTGCTGGTACACCACTTCTGGGTACATCCTGGAAGTGACAATGAGTAGTTCTAGGAATTGACATAAACTCTATGATAAAGTTGTAAAGCTTCTGACAATTCCTAGAACTACCCAGGGATATGGAATTGTACCCAGAAGTGACAACAAGTTGCAGAAATTCTATGGTTTCTCAGTCCATCTCTCCTGCTCTAGTATGATGAAGAAACAGGATCCCAGATGGGTCCATGCAGACATATATTATTTTGTATCCGGATGTTTAACTCTGTCTGATCATTCCCCCCCCCCCCATTAATTTTTTAGCAGTCTAAATCGTGTATAACATTATCCCGTCTGATATTTATGCTTCCCCTGCTTTGGAGGCAGGCCCGTAGCCACGGTGGGGCATCTCGGGGCCATGCCCCCTCACTCTACAGCCACGCCCCACAAGTCCTGCTGTTATAATACGGATTTTAAAAATATTTATTTGGATACCTAAGTCGTGCCATGCTGCGTGGTACTCTGCCCACAGCCTGCATTTGGGTATTAATTAAGGTGAGCTGTGCCAGGCTGCACCCTGCCCGCATGGCACCCCATGACATCGGCAGCTCCACCCTCCCTACCAACTGTTTCCCATTCCCACAGTGACTGGCCTGACTGAACTGCAGTCCCACCCCCCTCCTCCTGCTCCTCATGACTTTAGAAGAAGAAGAAGAGATTGGATTTATCCCCCGCCCTTCACTACCCAAAGGTGTCTCAGAGTGGCTTACAAACTCCTTTCCCTTCCCCTCCCCACAACAGACACCCTGTGAGGTCGGTGGGGCTGAGAGAGCTCTGACAGAAACTGCTCTTTTTCAAGAACACCTCTGACAGAACTATGGCTTGCCCAAGGTCATCCGGCCAGGTGCAAGTGGAGGAGTGGGGAATCAAACCCGGTGCTCCCAGATTAGAGTCCGCGCACTTAACCACTACACCAGACTGGCTTTAAAGAGTTAGTGAGAGAGAGAAGAGCTGGTAAGCGAGCGAGAGGCGCTGGATTCCTTCCTCTGTGAGGAAACTGCAGATCTGAATGGCTGGGAGAGAAGAAGAGTAAAAGGGGGTGGGGAGAAAAAGGAAAGGGTAGGAGTGAGGGGGAGGGGTTGGCGGAGAGGAGGGACCGCAGGGGGCTTGAACGGCAAAGGGAGTGGAGACGGGGTAGAGCGAGAGAACTAGAAAAATTACAGGCCAGTAAGCCTAATGTTTTTCCCCTTTCTGCACAATTTCTCAGTCAGGCACCACGAACCTGCGAAGGGTAGCAGGGTTGCCTTTACAGTCCAAATCCCAGTGTCTGGGCCAAAATACACAATATGCCCTACATGTGCTGGGTCGCGTGTGTGTGACCCAATTCTCAGTCCGGTAGGGTTGCCAAATTTGTTTCACGTACCGGCGGGGGTCCTTCCTGCCGGTCCGGGAGCTCTGTGGGGACGTGCGTGTGCGCGCGCTTTGCGCGCGCGCGCCGCCGGGACGTCACCGGAAGTGACGTCACACGCTGGGCGGGGCCATGCCGTTTGAGTGGCCCCGCCCCCAGCGTGCGACGTCACTTCCGGGTGACGCGCACGCGGGGGTGGGGTTTCCCCCGGGCCCCGATTCCGGCGCGCCGGGAATCGGGGCTCCGAAGCGGGGGAATCCCCGCCCCCCGGCTGCATTTGGCAGCCCTACAGTCGGGGTAAATTGGGGGAAACTCACCTTAAACAGTGCTCATTTCTCAACACAGTGAGGGAGAGGAGGAACCTCCGTTTTATCTCCTGCTCCACTTTTGCCAGTGGAAAGGAGGTGGAGGAGGTCTCTTTGTCCCCTTGCCCTGGCTCCACATGCCCTAGGATGGATAACTGGAGAAGGTGAAAAGGAGTGAAAAGTCATGCGGCCATTTCTGCTGGGGAAATTGGTGTGGGAGGGAAACCGAAAGCTCCATCTCCCTCATGGCAGCACTTCCTCACACTATGATGCAAACAAGGACTGTTTAAAGTGAATTTCCCCAATGTGTGGTCTGACCTGACACGCATCTGTCGTATTCTCTGTTTTTGGCCCTCTGTATCGATGCATTTTGTGAGTCCAGATTGTTGTGAAGAGTCCCTGATGGCACGTGCAGATTGTACATGTGTATATCTTCGATGTGCTTAAAAGATGCACACCCATAATCAATGTGTAGAGCTCCAGAGCAGAAATAAGGTTGCCAACCTCCAGGTGTGTGTGTGTGTGTGTGTCAGGGGGTGGGTGGGAAGCTGGAGACCCCCCAGAATTACAACTGAGCTTCAGGCTACATAAATCATTTATTTATTATTTATTTGATACCTTTATTACACTTCTGTAGAAAATTGCTGCTTTGGAAGGTGGACTGAATGATGTTACACCCTACCGAGGTCCCTCCCCTCCCAGTTTGGTATAGTGGTTAGCAGGGCTATTTTTGGGCAGGAACGCACAGGAACGGAGTTCCGGCTGGCTCCCAAGTTGGCCACGCCCAGCAGGAACTCATTAGCATAATAGGCCACACACAACAGCAGAAACTCATTAGAATTGGCTACATTAGGGGTGTGTGGCCCAACATGCAAAGGAGTTCCTGCTACAAAAAAAGCCCTGTCGTTTTGACAACAAACAAGGTAAACAGAATAACAAGCAAAAGGTGGGTGTGGCTGGATGACCACACTTCTGGTAACACGGGGGTGCGGCCTAATGTGCTAATGAGTTCCTGCTGTTGGGTGTGGCCTATTATGCTAATGAGTTCCTGCTGGGCTTTTTCTACAAAAAGAGCCCTGGTGGTTAGGAGCATGGATTCTATAATGGAGAACTGAGTCTGATTCCCCACTCCTCCACATGCAGCTGCTTAGGGTTGCCAAGTCCTTACCTTATGAAGAGTGGGGGAGTCCAGCGCTGGTTCGGGAGTCCATGTGTGTGAGCGCAATGCACGAGCACGCCGCAATTGCATCACCCGGAAGGGACGCAATCATGTCGGGCACGTTGGGAGCGGGGCCACAATCATCCTCGGGCCTCTCTGGCGGGGTTTTCCTCACCCCCTGGGGGGACTTGGCAAGCCTACAGCTGCTGGTGTGACCTTGGGTCAGTTACAAGATTTTTCAGAGCTGTTCTCTCACACGCAGTCCTCAAAAGAGCTCTCTCAGCCCCACCTACCTCACAGGGTGTCTGTTGTGGGGAGGGGAAGGGAAAGGAGATTGTAAGACGCTCCTTTGGGTAGTGAAGGGTGGGATATAAATCAAATCTCCTCCTCCTTCTTCCTCCCCAAACCCCAGTCATCCAGGCTCGACCCTAAAATCTCCTTGCAATTCTGAACCTGGAGTTTTCAATCCTTGGGCAAAGCTGTCAAGTATGTCTCCCTCGCTCCATGCTCACCATACTTGGTTGGAGGATCATGCAAAAAAGTCAAATGTGATTGATGCATTGTACACAAAGGTCATTTCGGGGGGATTGCGGGGGATCGCAGTTCCCCTGGGTGAGGTATGGGGGGGCGGGGCACATGACGAAGCCCCGCCCCCTGCTTCCGGCCGCCCTGCTTCTGGCCCTCATTCAGCCAGGAGGAGGCAGGAGAAGAGGGGCCTTGCAGGTCCACCGCCGGGCCCCTCATGGGCGGCGGCCGGGACCGTTGGGGGCGGGGTGTGTGGCCTTATGACACACTTCCGGTGATGTCAGGGGGTGTGGCATATGCTAATGAGTTATGCTAATGAGTTCCCCTAGCTCTTTTTCTACGAAACGACCCCTGATTGTACATGAAGAAGCCCGGGCTAGCCCAGGCTCATCAGATCTCGGAAGTGAAGCAAGGTTGACCCCGGGTAGTATTTGGATGGGAGACCATCAAGGAAGTCCAGGGCTGTGACGCAGAAGCAGGGAATGGCAAACCACCTCTGAATGGCTCTTGCCTCGAAAATCCCACGAGGTCAACATCAGTCAGCTGTGACCTGATGGGCCCTTTCCACCCCCACCCCCACGTAGGAACCTGTCACTGGGTGCAGTCAGACGCGCCGTTTAGTCCTCTTTCGGCACGCTTCAGCAACGGATTTTATATCCATGTTCACACACCCAACATCTGTGCACCGTCCCCAGCCGTCGCTTTCCAGCTCAAACCCCCTTTAAAACGGAGTATTTTGTTACCAGGTCCCCAAGTGGTGTTTTCCTGATTCTCCAGTTCTAGACGCACTTTTCTGACGTCTGATCGCTCCTGCGGTGTCGAGCCACCTCCACTTGGAAGCCCGAGGCTTCCACTCTTCGCCCGCCATTTTATTTTAGCATCGGTTGGTATGCGCACAGGCGGAGCTCCGCTCCCACGATATTAAAAACAATGTTTAAACGGTGCCTAGTTTTGTTGGTTAGACGAGTTCGGGATCTCACGGAGGCCAGTTTTGGGGTAAAAGTTTAAAGGGAAGTGTTACAGCAGTTGGGTTGAAGTGGGAATCGCTATTCTGCGCACGCATGGAAATTTTAATTCTACAGATGGCCGCCTGTGCGCATGCCCAAACTGAGAGTGAGAGAGAAAAAACACCGACGCATGCTCCCGCGTGTGGACGGCGGGGAGTGATGTGGATGCGCAGCGATCCAGAACAAGGAGGTGAGTGTGGTCGCAATTCTCCAGGTTTAAAAAAAAAAGCGCATTGGGACCGGAGCAATTTAAACTGCTCCCAGCATGCCATCTGACCACACCCAATGGGTGAAAAAAATGTTTCTAGGGTCTCCACAGAATCTAGGCCTGAGGGGAATCAAAGAAGGTAACAACGAACTATTCCCTTCCAGGCCAAGCGTTGTAACCAAGTAAACAGGTCAGAGAGAAAAGGAAATGAACGTTGGTCCTCTTAGTTAAAGAACATCGTTGGGAAATAACTGACATAACCAACTTGAGTGCCAGAGCAGGATGTGAGCGAAAGGGAAGAAAGGGGCTCTCTCTCTATATATATATATGTATTTAAAAGGAAGAAAGTGAAAAAATGTCAGGAAATAATCAGTCTCGCCCCTTTAATTGGGGGGGGAGGGGCTTGGGCCACTGAACGGTTTCTGACTCTGGGTTGGGAAATGCCTGGAGATTTTAGGGGTGGGACCTGAGGAGGGCGGGGTTTGGGGAGGGGAGGGGAGGGACTTCAGTGAGGTATAATGCCACAGAGTCCACCTTCCAAAGCGGCCATTTTCTCCAGGGGAACAGATCTCTGCCACCTGGAGATCGGTTGTAACAGCAGGAGATCTCCAGCTGCCACCTGGAGGTTGACCACTGATCTCAATAAAGAGAACAGCAGGGTTCAGGAGGTCTTAGTGTGTAAAGTCCATTGCCAGATGTCTGAATGCATCATAAAAGCCATAACTAGATAGCAGCGACTCTCTTTTTAAAAGTCGGAATTGGCTTTGGATAATCTTTTTGGACACCTGCTGTGGTCGTAGAAAGAGGACTGTGGCTTCAGATTAGAGTCTTGTTCATTTACCCGCCAAAATCAGATATACGTGTGTGGGGGTGTAAAGAGCTGTCAAGTCGCCGCTGACTTACAGCTACCTCAGCAAGGGAGAACTGATTCAAGGCAGGCGAGAAGCAGAGGTAGTTGGCCATTGCCTTCCTCTGCAGAGTCTTCCTTGGAGGGTTCCCTTCAGGCCCGTAGCCTGCGTGGGGCCCGTGGGGCCTGGCCCTCCCGCTGGTTTTGCGGGCCCCCTCCCCTGCTCCCCTCCCAAATCAGCGCTGCCGCTGCCACCGCCTCCTTCTCTGGCCCTGACTGTCGGGGTCCCGGCTCCGGCCACAGCCCTTCCTGCCTTGGTGGCGGCCCGCCTATTGCTTCCCACCCCTGCCCCCGGCGGCGGGCCCGCCTCCCCGCCCGCCCGAAAGATGGGGCTGACCGGTTGGATGATGGAACTCTCCACAGCCGCAGCCCGAGAGGGGAGGAGCGGCGAGGCGACCCCGGCAGCAACAGGCAGCACCTCCGCCCGCGTGCCTCCGAGACGCTAGGCTGGGAGTGCGTGACTGGCCCAGGGTCACCCAGCAGGCTTCCACAACATGAGTTCAAACCGAGGTCTCTCAGATCCTAGTCCAACACTTTAACTGCTAGACCACACAGGTGGATTACAATATTGTACAGTATTTAATAAATTCATATAATCAAATTGTCAAGGAGTCCTAGGATGGACCCTGTGGGTCCCCAGGGCTTGTTCTACACAAGTAACCAGACTCTTCGCTTATTTTTTTTTTAATGAAATTTATTACATTCTTATCAAATAAAGAATTGTTCTACATGCAGCACATTACTCTATGATCACTCAGCAAGAAAAACAAGAAAACTAGCATAGCTGTCTAACACTTTCTAGAACCAGCGTTAGATGGCACAACCCTTACATTCCAAAGTCAAAGGCCAAAGATCAGGCATTGTCTATGTTACTAGCAATTGTAGGGTTGCCAATTTTTTTTTTCCTACCGGTGGGGGTTCTTCCTGTGAGCAATTGCAAACCATAGTTCAGGCCTCTAGTCCACCAAAATCCCAGCTAGTCCCTCCTCCTCAGGGCCTTAGCTTAACTATAGATTTTGGGCCTGGCCCTTCAGGGGATGATGACATCCAATCAGGACAGGTCTCCAGGAGAAACTTCTAGAAAATTACTTCATCACCTCTGGCTCCTCCCCCCCCCCGCACCACATCACACGTACTGCAGGTTCTTGTGAGAAGTTAACTACTTTGGCCTTGAAGATGATAAGAGTTGTGGAGACCCAAAGAACAATTAGTAACACCTACAGGATAGATCAGGCCTGTTACTGTTTGCATTAACCCTTGAGAGGAGCCCAGGGATGCTTTGCCTCACACAGGGCTATTTTTGTAGAAAAAGCCCAGCAGGAACTCATTAGCATAATAGGCCACACCCGACAGCAAAACCCATTAGCATATTGGGCCACACCCTGACAGCACCGCTCATTAGCACATTAGGCCACACCGCCATGTTACCAGGAGTGTGGTCATCCAGCCACACCCACCTTTCCCTTCTTTTTCTTTTTACCTTGTTTGTTGTCAAAACCCAGGGCCTTTTCTTGTAGCAGGGACTGCTTTGCATGTTAGGCCACGCACCCCTCATGTAACCAATCCTAATGAGTTTCTGCTATTGGGTGTGGCCTATTATGCTAATGAGCTCCTGCTAGGCGTGGCCAACTCGGGAGCCAGCCGGAACTCCGTTCCTGTGTGTTCCTGCCCAAAAAGAGCCCTGCGAAATATTTCTTTTAGGCTGGGACAGGATTGCACAGAGCGGTACCCGGCAGCAGCCCGGTGGTGCAGAGAACACAGAACCAGTCTGATTGTAGCAGTCCTTGGCAAAGGCCTGAGGGAATCTCAAGCCAGAGCTTGTGCAGAGCTTCTAGTCATCAGGAGGTGAGACTGAGGGTTGCCAGCTCCATGCAGGTAAACTCCTGGAGATTTTGTGGTGGAACCGGGGGAAGGCGGCGTTTCAGGAGGAGCTCAGCAGGGATGTGATACCATAGAGTCTGCCTTCCTAAGTTGCCAGTTTCCTCCAAGGGAACAGATCTCTGCGGTCTGGAGACCAGTCATAATTCTGACAGAACCCCAGGTTCCACCTGGAAGGACTTCTTCACCCAAAGAGTAATTAACACGTGGAATTCACTGCTGCAGGAAGTGGTGGCAGCTATAAGCATAGACAGCTTCAATAGGGGTGAAAAGTACACAAACGGAGAGAGATTTCAGCAAAGCGTACTTTATTCTATCAGGAACAAGACAACTTTGGCCGGCTCGCAGGCCGACTTATATCCCCCTAGAAACCGCCACCCAAAACACACCCCCTACTTCCCTATAGGTTATTTACAGTGGCCAAGAGCCCCATAGGCTCTCGGCTGGGAACCTAGCCCCCTGATTGGAACAGGCTAGGATCTGCATAGTCCATTGTCTGTTGGAGCGAAGCTCGACGTTTGTCTCTGGACTTGTCTGGACTTGTCTGGACTGGATACATTACAAGGGGATTGGATGAACATATGGAGCAAAGGTCCATCAGTGGCCACAAGGTATAAATGGAACACTCTGTCTGGGGCAGTGGTGCTCTATATTCTTGGTGCTTGGGAGGCAACAATGGGAGGGCTTCTGGATTTCTGGCCCTGCTGGTGGACCTCCTGAAGGCACCTGGGTTTTGGCCACTTTGTGACACAGAGTGTTGGACTGGATGGGCCATTGGCCTGATCCAGCATGGCTTCTCTCATGGTCTTATGGAGGATGACAACCTAATGGGACTCCTCATGTTCATTATATAGCCCCTTGCCTCTCCCCCCAGCTTGCAGAGACAAAACAACTAGTGTAAAAGTGGGCTAAAGTTGCATGATTTGTTTGGTTGCACAATGGTGTACATGGAGGAGAGAGTACCAAGAACACGCATAGGCCTGAGGATGAAAGGAACCAGTCAAACCATTGTGGACTCCACTGCTGAAGCGCTGCTGGAATTTCTGCTTCTGGAAAGAGTATGCGGGACCCATTTCTCACTGAAAGCTCCTTTAAAGGAAGACAAGAAGGATCGGCCACTAGCTGCTTTGCAACCTGTCCCGACGAAGGTATACAAAAGAGGATTGAGACAACTGTTGAGGCAGAAAAGTCCGTGAGCCACCGGCGCTCCTATGTCAAGGGTTTTTTGCATTCCGAGACTGTCTTCTCCCAGAATTTCGAGAATGGAGAAGAGATGGTATGGGAACCAGCTGCAGAAGAAGACCTGGATCACAGCCACGATGATCTTGACGGACCTGCTGGAACGACTGAAGAGGCTTCTCCTCAGCTTGATGACGATGGCACAGTAGCAGGCCAATATGACGGTGAAGGGGATGACAAAGCCGACCGTGAATTCGGTCATCACTACGGAAAAATGCTGTTGTGTCCTGAGACCACCGTCGTCCTCCGAACCAAAGTTATAGATGCACCAAATGGAGCCATCTGGAAGGTATTTCGTATCACGGAAACTGAGGTATGGTAAGCTGAGGGCCAAGGCGGCCGTCCAAATGCACCCAGCCACGAGGGAAGCAAGCTCGAGAGTGCGGTGGTTCAAGGCCCAGACAGGGAACATCACAGAAACACAGCGGTCGGCGCTGATGGCTGTCAAGAAGAAGACGCTGGCGAACATGTTCAGGAAGGTCACCATACTGTCGAGTTTGCACATCAACCTTCCCAGAGTCCAGTGATAATCCAGGGCCAAGTAAGCTATCTCGGAGGAGAGTGAAAGGGCAAAGACAAAATCGGCCACGGCCAAGTTGAGGTACCATATGGTGGTGACCGTCTTTTTCATGAGGAAACCGGTGAGGAAGATAACTAGGCCATTGCCTGTGGCGCCCAGCACCAGTGTGATGCTATAAATTACCATGGAAACTATTTTCATGACCTGATGGATTTGAGCACTGTTATAGAAAGGCTCTGAGGCCCAACTTTCATTCCAGCTGTTATAGAATTCGGTGTCACTCGATGGTGGGAATTCAGCGTTGTCCGATAGTGGGGATTCGGTGGCGTAGTTTGGAAAGGTGGTAAGGAGATCCATCCCTCCTTGGAATATCTCTCTCTCTCTCTCTTTCCGTAGGGTTTTCCTACAAAACAACCAACCACTCAGGCCTATTTGTTTATCACAGAGCAGAAACAGTAGGGCCTATCTATACAGAACACCAAAACTTTGTAAGAGGATGTCTAGGGGTGTACTTATTGGATATTGTAACTCTGCATGAAAAAGTATCTAGAAGGGAAATGGTTAAAATAATTCTCTCTCTCTCTCTCTCTCTCTCTCTCTCTCTCTCTGGTACACTTGGTAGTTGGCCCCACCCTCTCATAGGTTAGATCTCTTTGGCCCTCGCTTGCCCTCTGTTTCATCTTATATAGGACCTCTTCTCTTCTCTCTTACCTGGACTTGGAGCTCTAGCAAGTTTATCTTTTTGAAGTTAATCTCTTCGCAATAAGTTAAATGCCCCATACATGAACATGTCACGTAAGATGTGTTTCTAATTTCGTAAGTTAAAAATTCTTTCTCTTATTACCATTGGAATCATATCATCTTTGTAATTTGTTTGAAGGGCCTTTCCCCCTTAACGGGGAGACGTGGAGGATCGGGGATACGTTCTATTTATTTATATATTTATTTAGATTTTTAAATTGCCCTCCCCCGAAAAATAGGGCTCAGGGCAGTGTACATAATAGAAGCATTGACATAATATCATCGGTTTAAATAATAACATTCCCAATATATTATAAACGATAATGCACCTATAAACAATAAGATGGCGATAAACTTCCAGAGTATGCCACGGGGTGGGGTGGGGGAGGCCGGAGGAACAGGAATG